TGACCTGTTTCGACATTCTAAAACTGTCGGAATTGACGGAAATCCGATCCGAGTCACGAAACTCCAAATGACTCGAAAAAGCACTTTTTAACCAACTTTAACTCATAAAAACTTAACTTCTCAAAAACTCAACTTTTTACCAACTTTTCCTCAAACCAACTTTACAACCACAAAACATGGGACTCGGGAAAACTACCGAAAGGGCAAAATAGTCATTTCCACGAAAAATTACCAAAATGACCTTTCGGGTCATTACATTGCTGTAGTAGTCAAGGGTAGGTATATACTGTGACATGCTTCCGGTTACAACAACATCCACATACTTGGTATTGGTCCACAACCTAGCTATGATCCCTTGCCATGAATCCTTACTGCATTCAGCCTCGATGAAATCAGCTAACTCTGGGTCAGGTTTGAGGATTTTCATCACTGACTCTCTCACTGACTGATCTGTAATTTGAGTGTTAATGGTTCCCATCCGAATATCGTTACAAAGTAGAGACCAGTGTTTTTCTAGGAATCGGATGGCACGGACAAAGCTGGATGCAAAGTACGAGCCAACCCTGAGTACTTCTTTGTGCTGGCAGAGGCCACATAGCATTTGGGAGTACATGCTTTGGTAAGAGTCTGGGCAGAGAAAGGTTTCAGGGGGACTAGTGTAGTTTGCATAGGGGTTACGATGCCTGTCGTGGAAATAAGGACTCTTGTAAATACTTGTTAAAACAGTACGAGCTGGTAATCCTCCTGGGGTGTTGGCTTCCGACTTTATGGACAAGAAATACATTCCTTTACCCTTCTCCAAATCTGGAACAAATTGGCTTATCACAGACATTGCAAGGCTGCGTAGCTGAAATCTCTTCCCAAGCTCTTCTTGAATTGTTGGCTTAAGTTTTCTCTCCCCTCCGGACGTCCCAGAACTGCACGTATACATTGCCCTTTAGCAGAGACTAAAGACAAATGATTCACATTCAAGAATGAGAAAATCTTAATGGAGATACAAATGATGTGAATTGTGTACTTCTTAATAGTTGAGTAATAGTCACAACCACATTTGACGTATCACTTTTTTGCGAGTTTCATACCTGAACTATCAAGTATTTGTGTTTCCCTACTTGAACTATCACCATTTATTTATCAAAACACATCTTGAAGCTGACTAGATCAAGTGTTTGAATACAACGCCAAAAGGTGCGTGACAAGTTAATTTGCCCACAAGATTTCGTCCATATGGCAACTAATTCATTAAAATCGAAGCATGTTATGATAAATAGTTGACAATAGTTTAGGTTGGAAACTCGAAACATCTGATTGTTTTCTTTTGATAATGGTAAGTTCTCGAACATCACTTTAGTGTGATTTGACCATTATCTTTTGTTTTTTGTTTTTCCAATTAATTCCTTTGATTATCCGCGTGGAGTGCCATTTGGCACCATTTTTAACCAAGAAAGAGTGCACCACGCATCATCAGATATTTAGTCAAGGTATGTTTTGATAAATTGTTGGTGGTAGTTAGGTAGGAAACGTGTAGAAAACTTGCAAAAAATGTGATACTTCACGTGTGTTTTTGACCTTTATCACTGTAGTAGTACACCATTAAGACGGAGATGCACATTTTGTAAAGACAAACCTTGTCAAGAATCCAGAAATGGGTTGGGAGCAGAGGATCGGAGATTTATCACCATTGGCTATTCGGTTGATATCAAACTGAATATCTTCGTAGGTGATTACAGGCATGACTTTCTTGAATGTCTCTCTATCGATGTGACCATTGAGATCATGGCGCTGCAAGTACTCAACGTTGGCATTTCTAGAGAGGATTTCTGCAAGGACTCTCCTTTGGACCTCATCAACGTTGGTCGTGACCTCTTCAATGAACTGAAGACACTTCTTGTTTAACTCCGCGATACTACAATCAGTGGCCTTCTTCCAGCTGTTTGGTACCTCAGGTATAATTCTTTCCATATTACTAAAGACCTATCTGAGTCAATGATTTGTTACAAAGGGTGAACAAAATGTATATATAGGTATTCACTCGTAAATATATCACGTCCCTCCTTTTTGAGCATTCTCTCTGATAGTAAAATAATATGTTTCACTATATATAAATTGTGATCTGGATCAAAAGTAACCTAAATCTCTGTGCTCATAAGTCACAATTATCTTGTTTTCTTTTTGTTTATTCTCAGGTACAACTGGATTCTGAAATGTTAATTAATATAACATTAATTTATTTAGCAGATTCTACTTCGTGATGCGATGTGCTCATACATCCACGTGTTGTGCTCTTACCAGTAGACTAATGTCTAAGGCACTAGAAGTATGTTACCAATTACAGAAAGTTTCTGTTTTTTTCTTCTTTCTGAAATGTTTTTAATCTATGGTTACCTGCCCTTTTCATGAGCGAAGAAAGATAGAGGGGTGAACCTATTATCCACCAAGTTTCTAACCATATGTCATTGACCCTTGAAATGTTTTCAATTATCAAAAAGAAAAGAAATGTTCAAATCAACAAAGAATAAAAAACAACATGGCCAGATCATTACTTAATTGCAGAAAGTTGCAATAATAATAATATTTCCCATCGTCTGACATGTTTTTTTTAAAAAAAATATACATGTTAAGTTATGACAAAAGATATGGTCAGATAATCATTTACATGTGTTTCATGTCATCATGTGTTTAACTTAATTTTTCCCCTTCTAACCTAGTGTTCTGTACCAATATTGGAGCCTGACAAAAATCGGATTTGTAATTTGTAGGCCCTATTTCTCGGGGCGGTGCTCCCAACAAGATTTCTTCCCTTCTAAGGCTCAAACCTAAGATTTCTGATTTAACTTAAACTTCTTCACCTTAACTACAAGTTTTTATAGACACGCAAATTTTATGGCATATTTCAGATAAAATATTACTTCCTCTGTCCCAATTTATGTGACTTACTTTTCTTTTTAGTCAGTTCCAAAAAGAATGACACATTTCTATATTAAGTAACAATTTAACTATAAAATGTCTATTTTACCCTTAATGAAATGATTTATAGCCACACAAATTTCTATCATTCATTTTGAACCACAAATTTTAAAGGCATAATACATATATATGACCCTTAACTTGGTTTCAAATTATAACTTTGACCTCTACCTTTGATAGTGCACAAATAGACTATTTAACTATCCAAAATTTAAACAAAAAAACACTCTCGAATATTTCAGACAAAACGCGTGATATATAAATGCTCTGATGTGGATAAGTGAACCACTCAGTTGCTACCAACTAACTAAAATAAATACACCTAGATTTTAAAATAATAAAAATAAATTATAATATAGAATAAGGTGAAAAAGAAAAAAAAATTAAAAAAAAAAACCCTACGCTAGCTTCTTCTCACAACAGGCGACTCCTATGGAGTTTTAGGCCTCCGTGATCGAAACAGTCTCTCCCCAGCCTCGAGTTGTGGATGAGACGCCAGAAAAACCTAGTTATGCGTCTATTTCTAATCCATCGACTTACACTAAAAAATCTGATGGAAAACTTCCACTAAAATTAAAACCCGTGATCTATGTTCATGGGGAACCTACTACGAGTTTCAACTTTTCGGATTTGGAATCGTATATCCAAGAAGAAAACTTGCAATATGCTCTTGTTGCTAAGTTTTCTTATGGGAGATCCGATATGATTGATCTTAGAAAGAGTTTTACACGACACTTTGCAATCAAAGGAGATTGCAATTTAGGTTTACTGGATCATCGTCATGTTCTGGTAAGATTATCGAATCGGGAAGACTTTGTGGAGGTGTACTCTAGGGCAGTATCATTCATCACAATGACAGAAAAGGGCGTGAATAATCAATACCAATGTCGGATTCAACGCTGGACACCATGGTTTAATCCAAAAGAGGAGACATCAATTGCTTTAGCTTGGACTTTTTTTCCGAGTTTGTCAACACAGATGTTTGCTCGTGAAGCCCTGTTTTCACTTGCATCATCCATTGGGACACCCCTACAAGTTGATAAGGCAAAAACCGGTAAGTCAAGGCCTAGTGTAGCTAGGGTAAAAGTGGAGGTTAATCTATTATCATCGCTTCCGGATAGAGTAAGAATGTTTTTTAAAGATGAAAAAAATGGTGTTGTTAAAGAGGTGTTGCAAAAAATTGTCTATGACAAACTGCCTTCGTACTGCACAACATGTAAACATCAGGGTCACAAGGAGGAAGAACGTAGACTGACTATGGAGGTAGGAGGTGGACGAATTGATGAAACAAAAATTAATGGGGCAAAGTTCGAAGAAGATTTGTGATCAATTTTGGATGAGTAAAAGTAAGTTCTTTCTCTTCAACAAACTGGAAAAGAGGTAACATTACCAACTTCTTCCAATTCTGAAAAAAATAGTGTGGAAAGAGTTGATGCACCAGGTCCCCTACTTGTTGCTGCAGCATCTGGGAACAAAAAAGATACATAAACTATGTTACTTGGGACACTGACTTCTAAGATTAGTGAGCAACTTGGTACGACCACAACGAGTTCTTCCACTCTTGTCAATATTGATGTTGAGGCACAAAATAATATAGATAATAACTCAAGGCAGTTGATCGTTACATCACAAGTCGCTACAGAGCAATTATCGTCTAGATTTGTGAAATATAGAGAGTTGGATTCGCCTAATGCAGTCGTGGTTACTAAATCAAGGCAATATGAAGCCAAAAAAGGCAACACCACCGCAGAAAAATCCAGTAATCAATGGACTTTGGTCTCACATAAAAAAATGGTTGGCTTTAAGTCCTCAAATAATCACATTTTGCACCAAAAAGATTCTACACATGTTGAGTTTGATAGGAGTAATAGTGTCGTTGAATGTACTCAGTTTAATGTGTTGCGAGATGAGAAGTTTGGACAATATGAAGGGCTACATGTAACAAATGAATTAGTTACTGAATATGGGAATACTTTAGACTTTGACAAGCAGATTGAGCAAATCGGAAAGTTGAAACAATGTTGTCACGACGAGCATACTAATCAACAAGCTCTTGTGACACATGAAAAGGAGTTCATTGTTACGGAGAAGATAGATGGCAAAGAAATCAATCTAAATACACCTACCGTGTTTATTTTAGATCAAGAGGTGGCTACAAACAATTTGAATGAATCTAAGGGAAAAAATGGGGGGGGGGGGGAGTGCTTCTAGATGGGCAGATTTAGTTGAGAAAGAGAATCGTACTCCTTCACCTAGTAGGAGTAAGTTAAGCCCTCCAGCACTTGAATTTGTGCCTACAAGTAAAACAAATCCATCTATGGCAGTCATTGGTAATCATCTAACTTGAGTGCTACAAAAGTAAAAGTGGCTGATAGAGATATTCTTTATGACTTGGACAATGACATGTCTGATGGATACGATTAAGATGATGAAGAAGAAATGTTGGATATATGCTTTGATAAAGTGGCTAAGGAGGGGCATCTTTCACCTAGACAACAAAGAAGTGGAAGCACCAAATGCAAAAAGAAGACACATAGAAGACAACATAGTTAGGATGGTAAGGTAAGTGAGGATTTTGTTCCAAGACACCTACCAATGCGACTAGCAAAACAAAATCATATGACAGTATCAACAACTTTATCAAGATCCAACAAATCCAAGAAGTGATGAACTATCAATTATTTTTGGACAGATTTGAAGAAGAAGACAAAAGGCAAATCATTCAGATTACTTTAGACGGACAAACTACTTGTTTTAGTTCATACATATATCAAATGAACTTTGGGAAAAAATTTTACTATGCTCTTCACCCCTTTCTTCTAAAAAAAAAACCCTAATCTAAATTTCTAAAATTCATGCCCCTTATATTCAAATCAAAGAAAAAATTGTTCAAGTTATGTGCAGAAAATTCATATACTTGAACGATTACCTATTCTTCTTCCTTAATTTAGTCAAGATATCAAGGTTCAACACTTTACAAACAAGAATTGCATATTGTTGGTCAGATGTTCAAGCCAATATGAGAATCACTAGAGGAAGCTAACGTTTTTGTTGCAAAATTATTTCAGAGCAGCCCATAAATATAGGAAGACATGAAAATCAATTAACTTTTTCTTCTTTCTTTAGTTTGAAGTATATTTGTGCTTTAAGTTGTCAAATACTTAATGAAAAAAAAAAGGGAGGATGTTTTGTGTATTATGATTGTCATAGTGAGTAGCAAATTACAATTACGAAATTTCGGAGGCTAAAAAATAAACATAGAGTGCTAAAAATTATTAAATAAAATGGTGCACTTAAACTGTTTGATAAAATGTCTAGATGAACTTTTCAAATATTTTTGTCAAGTTTGAGTAGCTATCTGATACCTAATCAAAATGTAAGGAGTCCCGTAAGTGTGGATTGGAGTCGTTGATTGAGAGTCTTCGGACTTAGATTATGTTCGATTTTTATAAGTGTATACTTATCCTCATCTTGCTTACAATAGATCTAGGGAAAGATAAAAAAACTTCATTATACCTTTTTTTTTTTTTTCACAATAACAGAAAATAATTAAATGTCACTTGCAATTTGTGCATTTTGCAATGAACAACAAATAATGCCAGAAAAAAAAGGGAAAATGTTGAAAAAATTAGAAAGAGAATAAAGTGAAATTTAACTAAAAAAATTAATATATATATATATATATATATAAGGATTGATTAAGGATTTAATAGTCTTTTCAATATTTTTTTACTGTTGGGGCCCTCAAATTTTATCTCTGACGCGCCTAATTTGGGTGTATTTCACGCATTTTGCCAGGTAGGATTCGAGTGTTTTTTGTTTAAGTTTTGGATAGTTAAAGTGCCTACTTGTACAAGTCTTCCTTTCTTTGTTAAACTTCGTGCTGAGTCAAACTACCTCACATAAAATGAGACGGAAGGAGTATTTTGTTATTGGTAGCTAGTGTAGTGTATTAGTTGAGAGGGTTAACTTCTCTACAAGTTGTTAGTATTATATTAGTGATATGATTAGTTAAATGGTTAGTACAACTATTGACCTCTGTGTTTAGGT